CTTTTAAACCGAACAGGACTTTTATTTTACCCGTTAAACAAACTTTAGACTTATTATAAAAGCATTAAGTGGGTACCTGAACTCAAATATAATCCGGTAGACAAACTTAATCACACAAGTATTTGTCTAGTCGCGACCAAACAGGTTTTTAGTAAAGAAAGCGGTGATTTTCGTCTGCCAATATTAGTATTTTGCCGTTTAAATAATGGTGAATTTACGGATGATAGAAAGCGAAATCCGTAGAGGTTAGTGGAACGCTTTCCTAATGTCGCAAAACATAGTATGACTGTAGCGAATAGGTAATCGTAAGTATGGGCTGCGTTATTCGTTCCACTCACCGGCTCCAACCGCGGACGGTGCGATGGTGTTGACATCTTTACAATGTAGACACGCAATTATCTGTGAATCCTTTATTACGTGCATTACCATCTCCGAAGCTGCAAAGTGCATAACGATTGGTGATTTGCGTGTTAGGTAAAACACCGGTGACATTCTTGTCTGAAGATGTGACGAAATGGCATTGAAGGTGACAAAATGTAACAAGTGACTTAGGAATTGATTTCGTTATTCCATATCAGCCGAAGCATATTCAATACGCTTTACATCTTAAATGAGGATTATCTGATGATCTGTATCTAATGATCTGCAAAGCATTGGTTGAATCCTTTAAAGCACTACCGTTAACTACCTCATTGGTCAAGTGGCTTCAAGTGCAACAGCCGGCACTACCGAGAACCTGACCCAATCTCAATACTCAAATCTGGCAAATTCTGGTAAATCAGTGACGATCATGTACAAACTGTCTAGCTCTCTTTTTTAAATGTAGTACTTAGGTACCTAATCTTTGTAAAATAAGTGGTCCAAAAGTATACCATAATTTTACCTCCTCGACTAAACTCTATCGACTCGAGCTTTAGCTGATGTAATCTAATATTAACAAAATATCATTCTCAAAATTATTTAAACTTAAAAGTAGGCCACACCTCACGTAGACCCATAATCCTTCATAGCAGAGTATCAATCAAAATGCACTCGAATATCAAGAACTAACAATAGCTATTGTGTACCGGCACTATTAGATAAAATGCGTTTTGATAGGAAAAATAACAATGGTATTAATAAATAAAAGTATGCCACAATAGGCTTAATCTCTATCTATAGTTTTGTTATGCAACTGAGTTTATCATTGTAATAATAACACAGATTCAAAAAGAGACTAGATGAGCTAAGATTTCTTTACATATATTGTTGTGGACTGCCTCAAGGACGTGACACTCACAATCATATTTGCTGAGTACCTACATACTGTTACCCAGATACCCAGATCTCAGGTTCTAGAAAAGAATTATTTTAACTATATTCTGTATTCTAACAAAATATGTTCTATATGTTCCAATCTATTTCTATTACAATTTGATGGAACAAAATGTAGTGGACAGTTAAACCATTTTTTAAATAATCCCAAAAACATCTGTATCCGTTCAACAAAGTGAAACCTAACTCATATGAAACGCTAGTAGTGTATTGTTTTTTCATTTATTGGACTAGGAAACTGACCCCCTACATTAGTTCCGTCACATGTCGTGTCTAAGGTATCCGCAATGAGGCGACGTGCTCGAGGAAGGGCTGTCCCTTCCATTTTACATAGCTCACTGGCTACATTCCTATTCTTCTCGGATTACTGAATCTCGCATAATTTATCTTAACAGAGAATGCAATTTGTTAGACGGACTGTAAGTAGACGACGCAGCTCGACACCGCTCTATGATTCGTTTATGATGTCATTTGTTTTACAGCATCTAAACATAGCTTCGGATTTGTCTCAACTTTAGCATTACCTACATTTAATCGAGTCTTGCTAAAAGCCATACTTAACAATATCTGTAAGACTATAACCGCAGATTAGCCGATACTTTCAACGCCAAACGTTTAATTATTACATCTATAGTCTGTTCAAAACATATTATTAACAATTCGATGTAGCGATGGTATCATAAAACCGCGATCATCGCTCGGCTGCTTTTCGGCATCCACATGGAATTCCTGCTACACTGGCATTCGGGAAACCGATTAAAAATTCAGAAAAAAGAGCTTTACGTACAGTAATTTAAGGTCAAGAAGGAGCGTGATCTCGACGCAGTGGATAAAAATTATTTATTTGCGTGGGGCGCGGCAATTAGGGGGGCGGAGCGCGTCTGCGCGCACGACCTCTCGACCCTCGGCCTGCGCCCGCGCAGCCGCGCCGCCTGTGGACACTCGTCCTGTCACGGTGATGGCCCAGCGAAACATCTCAGAATTGCATGCGCTCTGCAGCACGATTTCACCTACTTTCGCGAAATATGTTTAACATTTTTGCATTTTTCGTGTGCAAGACATTAAAATTACTCGTGCAGTTTTAACCGAAGAGGTAATTGTTTGAACTTTTAGGTAAGTATAGTCATTACACGCTTTCAAAATCATCGGACCGACAGTGAAATTGCTTCGTTTTAAATGATTATAAAATACATAAATCATAGTGTACCCACGCTGCACATGCTGAGGCTGCATGCTCCAAATACCCATATGCCACGGGTATCCTGGTCAGTTTTATTTTATTATTACATTCTTAAAAGGAGATGCAATTACCGATACGGCGTGTATCGATGGACGCACGCGCACGCATGCTCTCATCGGCGCAGACCGCCGACGAAATGTAGGCGGCGCGGCGCGCGGGTAGAAATTAACCCGACTCTAGTATCTGATAGCGTACCATGTTGCTCTTTAGCTTTGTTATGCTTTTGTTTCCGATGATGAGAGCGACTGGAACTAGCCATGAAGACGATTAATTTACGCTCTACATGACGGGCACTCGTTTTATGTGCAACAAGACGAAATATGCGCATATTCGCAGTATTTTGAAAAATAAAAATAGGCTTGTGTTCTGTTAAGTAGGTACGTAGAATCATTGGTGCATATGGAATGTTTGAGAAAGATAAAATGTTATCTAAAGTAGGTATGTCTGAATAAGTAAATGAAGTTACGAATAGGTAATCGCGAATAGTTTAAAACAAAGAGACCGCATCAAAATATTCCGATTTACATCAGTACACCGGAACAGAACACTCACCGACTTGACCAACATCAATTAGCTCACATCACATGTAACAATTATATCATTTAAGTAGTTAAATAACAGGCATTACGCAAGACAGCCACTTACTCTCTCGGAACTTGTTGAAGATCCTCTTCATGGTTGACTGGTGCTGGTGGCTTTTAGACCACTCTTATTGTGGCTATTTGACAGGTGTTTCTGTTTGTAGTTATTGGGGTTCTCGGGTTCTCGCCAGGTGTTCCCGCGCACGCGCCCGCGACACAAATGCTGTCTGCAGCGAGCTGGCCACCGTCACGCTCGGGTGCGCCTGCGTCGGTAGCGTCGCGGGGTGGATAAACTTTACATCCGAATGCATGGACTCCTGATACGGTGTGCTCGTTCAATTTGCAAATGACTAATCTTTGTTTATGATTCAGTCCTAATGATGTTTTCGGTGTGAATTTTAAGTCCTTTGTTTTTAGGAAGTACGATGGTAAGGTAGGATAAGCTATCTCACTTTAGTGTCTGAATATACTTAGCCGGTTATTGTTTACACACGTATCTACATCGATTGGTCTCAAAAAAAATTATTTCAGGCCTCTTCAAAAGTCTCTGTAAGTCTATGCTGGGTATTTTTGTGACAGTTTACTGGTATTGTTCCATCACGCTAAAACTTACGTTAGGTACTTTTTCAGATCTAAAACGAATTCCATATAAAGTTTAGTGGCAACCTTTATTCCTTACTTATGTTAACAGTTATTGCAATTAAAGTAATGGCACATAATAACAAATCTGACCCAAGGCGGGTGATTAAGACCACAGACAAGTGCGGTAAGGTGAGGCCCATAAGCGGAATCACGCTTGCCTGGCGAAGCGCAACGTGGAGTGAGCGGCGCACCGTGCGATATGCTCTGCGGAACCCACATACGTACTTACTTACATGTCATACATAAGTAAGAATATAATTAAGCACATGTACCTAGTTCTTTCTCTACATAGTTTTGTAATGCGCCATATAAACCATGGCACTAAAAGGTTCAGATTTTGAGGGATTCCAACAAATGATGACTAACAATCGGTTTTGGCATTTCATTTTTTATTTATAGCATAAACCGGTAAACCAGCTGACAGATCACCTGATCGCAAGCAATCGGCGCCGCCCATGGACACTCGAAACGCCAAGGTGTTACAAGTGCGTTACCGGCCTTTTGGGAATTGGGAATTTGAGGATTGTGGAGGATTCAGGAGACGGGGACTGGGGTAATTGGGCCTCTGGTAACCTCACTCACACGACGAAATACAACGCAAGCGTTGTTTCACGTCGATGTTCTGTGAGGCCGTGGTATCACTCCGGTCGAGCCGGCCCATTCGTGCCGAAGCATGACTCTCCCACACTCAAAAATAGTGCCTCTGATTATGTAGAGAATAATAATTATGTTCTATACGTTTGCTTGAACTACAAGCTTCATCCATGTCGATTCTTCCAGCGAATCACAACATGGTGATCCCCGTAAGTAAAGCACAAATATTAGCTATGAAAATGACATTTAATAACTAAGAAACTGAAAATACTTAATGTAAGCATAATTATAATAACTAAGACGATTTGACCCTTAATTCATTCCTGTCAAGACGACACCTACCTTGATGATTTTACCAACACTTTAGAACGTTGTCCTTGAATGTTTTGGTAATCTACTGGCCTCGTTTGCTGGTTGTAGTTTTCGTCTGCCTACCCGGGTCATATTTACGCTAATAAATATAACATAAATACTGAGATAGCAATAACAATAGCGTTCAACAACTTGATAAATTGGATGATTAAAATGAATCTATATAAAATCACAATGAGCGTAAAGTTCTCAAGATTAAAATATTGTACATGTAGGTAAATAGTGACTAGACATAAAATGACAACAGTAAAGATACGTTAATTACTCTTCCGCTTTTTGAATCTCATAAGTTTATCGAGTTGCTTCAACATGTGAGGTCTGGTGCACAGGGCTTTTCTTATCACATCATCCAATAGCTTTTGCTGATTAAACGGTGGTATAGGAGTGTCCTCCAAATGAAAAGTATGCAGCCTCCCCGTCGTGTCACCGACAAAAACATTGTGTCCACAGGGCGCAAATCTTATGTACGTCAACATTACATCATGGGGAAATTTATGTTCAGCACATGGCATATGAGTTTTTCGACGTAAATCCCAAACTGATAATGTGTTCCCACTTGCAGATATCAAAATAGTAGCATTTATTGGACAAAATGCTATACCGTTCACAGCGTTTTGGCAAGTCAGTGTTAATATAACATCATCCATGCCTTCTATCCACAGCCGAATAGCATTGTCAGCGCCACAGGAAGCCAGCAAGTAGTTCATAAAGGGTGAGTTACACAAGTCCGTGACGGGGCCCGCGTGAGCGCGGTACACATCTATGTGCTGGTTGAGATAGTGCGTAGAACATCTGTGTATGCAGCCCTCGTCTGTGCCCACCAGGTAGCAGTGGTCTATAGTGGGGTGCCATATCATACAAAACACCGCGGGATATCTAGTAATGGGCACATCATGTTTAGGGCACGGTTTGGTGGTTTCTAGTCCCTTCAGCTTGCCTTCAACGGCAGATACTCGCATCATGGGCGTACTGATGAACTCGTGTGTTTTTGTACTTTGAAATCTACGGATTCTTCCGTCTTGACTTGCTGTCATCACAAATTCGCTTTCTTTGTCTAAAGAGCGCCAATTTATAACCCAAATGGGTTCAAAGCAAGGGTTTGTATCACGTTTGCTTCTTGCTTTTATTTTGATAGAGTACGAAGTAATATCTAATATTATTACATCGCCATCACAGAAACCACACGCCAACCAGTTTGGATTTTTATTCGAGAAACTGACACAAGTAACCGGTGCTTTAAAACGATAAAGTCGCTCTGGTTTTCTTGGATTTTTTGTGCTCCAAATACAAACAATACCTTGACAGACATCTGCATAACCGAATTTGCCATGAGATATAGCACATATGTTTGGATACTTTGGATTGAAAGATATGCTAGAGATTGGTTTGTTCAGAGTCTCCTCACACCCATATGTCCACAACTTAGCCAATGTGTATATGTATATTAAATCCAATGATAAAGGATCGATATCGATGACCCCTCGAAACGTTTTCTGTTGTGCAGCAAATACCAATGAAGCGAGCACTCGTTCCATTAAAAGTACCGCATCTAAATATTGATGTGTAGCTGCTATCTCTTCAAATGTTTTTCCAACACGCTTGTGTGCATCGATCTTTTTTCTTTTCTTCCGTAACATATGGGCTGCTGCAGATTGATACATTACCATTTCATCATCTTCTTCTTCGGCTACCGTTTGTTCGATTTGTTCATAAGTATCATGCATGTCCCACATTGACGCAAATGATATGGCGTTCTTTTTCTGGGGCCTCGTCGCAAGTGTGTGTCTGGTCTGTACCATTTTTATATGAGTTTGTGTTTCTTCATTGACTATTTTTCTATTTTTCCCTTTTCCTAGGGTGATGTAATCATAAAAAGCATTATCCTCTTCTATGAAATTTCCTTCTCGTGATCCTTTTTCGTACGATAAACACGGCAAAGAAATTAAGAAAACTGTTTCAGTTTCTTTAAGAGTAACAAATATTTCTGGTGGATAAGTCGTGAGTGGTGGCAATTTTGGTAAGTAAAATGCAGATGGAGCAGGAGAAACTAGCTTGTCCTCTATTTCTACTCCTTCCTCAGTGTTGATTGAGACATCAATTTCGATATCATCGAGATTGATGGTAGTAGCATAGACTTTTGCACCGGTAATAGCTTCTACACCTGCCCTGGACTTAGATCTGGTATATTTAATGGCCGCATCAAATCTAGATCGAGACCTATGATCGAACGCGGCGTGTGTAGTCAGGTCCTCTAGCGTTGCGTACCCGGGATCCAGTATATTATCTGGAGTCACATTCACTCCGTTGACTTTCACTTTGTAGAATAGTCGCTTATCTAAAGTAGCCGGAGTGAGCTTCACAGACTTAGTATGCGTGCTTGGCTCACTTAGTTCGTATACTGAAGGATCGTTGCTTGAATACGCTTGAGATAATACAGAGATGATTTCAGCTTCCACCATCTTGTTTAACTCTTTGATAAAGCCTAGGTTGAAATAAACGCTTAGACGTAATAGTCACTTCGACTCGCGAATGGTTTTAAACTTATTTTACAATGCAATGTGATTCTAATTGTACCAAATTGAATCCATATTGACATTACGTAAGTTTTACATTTTCCGTTGGCTATGATTCTGACGTTGACATTTTAGTGTATGGTTAAAAACAAGGACGGTTAGAAACTTAAAAGCCCTCATAAACAAGGACCTCACAGACACAGATTTAATCTTAGATTTTGATATTAGAAACCCATTGGTTTTAATCCGCATCGGATTGTAGAAAATCTAAAATAAGGGTAAATTACAAAGTACAACAACTGTCAACTATAATGTAACTTACACTTGTACCTATTGGTAACATCGAAATCAAATTACAACACCAGAACAAGCTTGCCGAAACAATTAATTTGAAAGAAAACCAACAACAATACAAATTAGGATCGCCTTCCAAAACCAGATATACATTAGGGCTGTAACGGAGGCTGATGCGAAGGCGATGAGTTTTACTTCCGCAGAAGCGGACGTTAACGGAGACGGAGGTGAAAGTGGGTTTAGAAAAATATTAATTTATTAAAAAAAGTCTGTATTTCAATAAAACAGGTACATATATACATACATTGATAGTACGCTTTAATTACTTATTTAATCAACTGGTATTAGTATTCAAAATTAAGAAGAGGCAAATTATATTTGATAAACAAGAGTTTGGCGGCTTTGTCACATTCCAAACGATTTCTAAGGGGATCATAAACTAAGCCAGCTGAACTAAATAATTTTCGTTGTTGGCCGGATGGTTGGGTCGATGAAGATGGATATCCAGGCATCAGCAGTGGCTGAACATGTTTGCGGTACGGATGCGGCTCACTTCATAAGGTTTGATAAGGTCTCCATACTAGCGAGGGAAAAATACTTCGTTCCGCAAAAAGTCCGGGAAGCCATCGAGATTAGCCGACGTCCGTGCTTCAACAGAGACGGTGGCTGGGCACTGCCACCCTCGTGGAAGCAGAGCTTGGAGTTTACGGAGTCGATCCGCAGCATCTCTAGTCTGGTGTGTAAAACTGAAATGTAACACTGACTTTGTGCCCAACCTGGAATCGAACTACCCCCTCCGCTGGTAAACATTGTCCAGCGCGCCGCCTCCAGAGTTGGAAGCAAACGCTCGTGGTGTCTGGCAGAGGGCGCGTTGGGGCAAGTAGCAACACCGATGCGAGCGCCAACGCTAGCTAGTAAGCTGCGCGACATCGATGTGACCGCGCACGCTGCTCATGAGGTAGATCCCCTCTGTGGTTCGAAACTAGTAGAGTTTTTCTCAGTACATTCACGTGAGTAAGCCGATTTTTAGTTAATTTAGTAAATCTCACGATAGTTATTACAAAAACATAAATTCCCTAAACACAAAATACCTAATTTCAATAACTTCCAGGTTCCCGCCAGAGCTTCATACCAATTACCCCGTAGCTTACCCTAAACTGATTATACTATGCTAACTCTTTGATACTATGTGCCCGTAGCGTGTTTTGTTTGTTGCCAAGCAACTTTATTGTCAAATAGAATGAAATAGGGATAAGGGATTGAATCCGAAATATTGAAATTGGAATCGAATAACTATTCGATTGTCTGCTATCTTAATTCTTATTCATATTGGTAGGTATAGTTTTCTTTTCTTTGATTAGTTAGACACCTCAATTTTCTGTCGACAGCATTGAGTTAATACTACTATCGTCGACAGTTAGGTACATATCTTTATTGATGACGGGGGAAACCTTCAGAAGCTTTTTGAGGAGGGAGAAAGAATGTGAGACTTTTACCAAAATTTTTCCCTTGTTAAATAAATAAATAATAAAATTACCCCGGTGGCCGGCCTCAGCACCAGTAAGGGCGTCGGGTTTTCTAATAGACCTGCTCCGGAGCCCCCACGATGCACAGCACGCCTGTCACGGCACATCCCAATGCAATAAGTAGTGCTATCACTTACATTTCAGTATCCACATTAAGACTTAGTTACGTAAATAAACTGAGGTAGGTTCGTATTCAAATGGGTAAGTAATAAAAAAGATTTAATAATTGTAGGCTTAAGGTTAAGGCGGCCAACCGTCCCGTATTCTGCGGGAACGTCCCGTAATGCTAGATGTAATCCCGCTTTGAAATAATTAATAAAATAGTCCCGTACAACTTGGTCATAAGTTTTTGGAATTCGAATTTCGCCCTGATGGCAAACTCCTTTATGCAAATAATTCCAACTACAAAAACGAGACAATGATCCGTAAGGAAGTATACGTGCATCCTTGTGTAATGGAAGAACCTAAAAGCTTCTGCCAGCGACCTCGCCGGCTCTCCCGGTGGTAAAAAGTAGCCTACCTCTATGTACTCCAGACCATGATTTCATTCCGGTCACTTCAACCGTGTTGATGTGACTGAGTAGGTACTAAAACTACACACAAACTTACAGACTAAAATTTTTTTATGGGATAAGTCCGTAAACGAACGGACGGATCACCTGATGGTAAGCCATCGGCGTCGCCCATGGACACCTGGAATACCAGAGGCGTTACAAGAGCGTTACCGGCCTTCTGGATTAGGAATTTGAGGATTGTTGAGGATTCAGGGAATGGGGAAACGGCGAAACACAACACAACGTTGTTTCACGTCGGTGCTCTGTGAGGCCGTGGTATCACTCCGGTCGAGCCGGCCCATTCAGGTCGAAGCATGGCTCTCCGACACTACCGTGGTATCACTCCGGTCGAGCCGTTTTCCATTAAATAGCGGTTTAAGCTAATTTCGACCATGCATCGGTCCTACAGTGTCAGCGTAAGGTCCTAAGGTCTACAAGCGGGCAACCTAACATTCGACAAACTTACATTTGCGTTTGGTATAGTATCTGTGTGTAAGGATCTCGCCGCACAATAAAGTTTATTTTTTAATGTAGGTATTTACTCTTTCAGGATAAAAAGTATTCAGTGTGATGCCCAGGATATTAAATTATTATTATACCCAGTCTCATTGTAATTGGACAGTTTTAGCGCGATGCTTGAGCGTGAACATACAGACAGAAAAACATTTTTTAAATCACATTTTATAGGATCGCTGTCTATCTAGTAACATCCCCTACTAATTGTTTTTTTTTTTCAATATTTGCAATTTTCAGAATTTACAGTGTTATTTAGAAAGAGGTAAAGATAGGAGGTACTTACCTACAATGTCATAATGCGGACATTTTTATGACAATACAGTAGTAAAATTCACATGTCTTTAATACGTCATTATACAGATATTTGAATAATAATTACGTTTATATTACTTATAATTTATTATCAAGTACTTATATTTTTCTTCATTTTTTGAAAATGGTCATAACCGTAAGCACGACTTCAATTAAACATGCTCTGGCTGCAAGTGATTCGTCTGAATATGCTTTGAGTATTGAGCCTGCTGTTTCTGGTAAATCTGTGAAACTAGCTCCTTCTACGACAGCAAACAGGCGGCTACTATACAAGGCGATACTCAACGGGGTCGATTGTACCCCGGATAACATTACTGACCCCTCGTTCGCTATCCTGGACGAGAAGCTGACACACACAGCTTTTGAAGGGAAATCGAGATCCAGAAGTGAAGCAGTTATTAAATCCACGAGATCAAAGTCCGTGTTAGCCCTGGGGGGCGGCCCGAGAGTTTTCGCCACCACTATCAACCTTGACGACATTGAAATCGATCACACACTGAACACTGAGGAGGGCTTAGAATCCGACGACGGGCAGGTTTCCTTGGCACCGTCTGCATTTTATTTACCAAAAATGAATCCGGTTACGTCGTACCCGCCAGATATGTTTGTCACGCTCAAAGAAACCGAGACTGTCTTCTTGGTATCGTTGCCAAGTTTGTCATGCGACAGAGGATCAGCGGAAGGGCAGATCGTCGAGGCCGACAATACCTTCTATGAGTTCATCACAGTTGGAAAAGGTAAAAATCGAAAAATGGTTAACCAAGAAACTCAGACCAATGCTACTACAACACTAACCCGGCATACCCTCGCCGTAAGGCCGCAGAAGAAGAATGCTGTATCCTTCGCATCGATGTGGGACATGCACGACACTTACGCACATCTTAAAATGATACAGGAACAAGAAGAGGAAGATGATGAGATGGTGATGTACCAGTCCGCAGCGCCCCATATGCTGCGGAAGAAAAGAAGAAAGCTACTTCATCCAGAGAAAAGCAAACCAATGACATTCGAAGCGATTGGAGCGACGCCACAATACTTGGACGCAGTGCTTCTGACAGAACGTGTGCTCGCTTCCCTGGAGTTCACTGCCGCCCAGAAATTGTTTCGGGGACTTGTCGCTGTCGATCCGCTGTCATTAGATTTAATTTACGTTTACACTCTAACTAATTTGTGGACCTTTGAATGTGAGGAGACTTTGAACAAACCAATAGTTGATATATCTTTCAATGCGGTATGTCCAAACCTTTGCGCAATAGCTCATGGAAAATTTGGTTATGCAGATGTTTGTAAAGGAATCGTTTGTGTTTGGTGTACCAAAAACCCACGTAAGCCAGAAAGACTTTATAATTTTGAAGTTCCTGTCACGTCTGTAGGGTTCTCTGTAAGAAACCCTAATTGGTTGGCTTGTGGGTTTTTTAACGGTGACGTGATAATCCTAGATATCACTTCATATTCTCCAAAAATAATAGCAAGAAGCAAACGTGACACCAATCCCTGCTTTGAGCCAATTTGGATAGTAACTTGGCAGTGTACTCCAGAACGAGACAACGAGTATGTGATGGTAGCTTGTCAGGATGGACGGATTCGTAGATTGCAAAGTACAAAAACACACGAGTTTATCAGTACTCCCATGATGCGGGTATCTGCCGTCGAAGGCAAGCTGAAGGGATTAGAAACCACGAAGCCGTGCCCCAAACATGATGTGCCCATTACTAGATATCCCGCGGTATTGTGTATGATATGGCACCCCACTATAGACCACTGCTACCTGGTGGGCACAGACGAGGGCTGCATACACAGATGTTCTACGCACTATCTCAACCAGCACATAGACGTGTACCGCGCTCACGCGGGCCCCGTCACGGACTTGTGTAACTCACCCTTTATGAGCTACTTGCTGGCTTCGTGTGGCGCCGACAATGCTATTCGTTTGTGGATAGAAGGCATGGACGATGTTGTAATGACATTGGTTTGTCAAAGCGCAGTTAACGGAATATCATTTTGTCCAAATAACTCGACTATCTTACTGTCGGCGAGTGGGAATACATTATCAGTTTGGGACTTGCGTCGCAAGATTCATATGCCATGTGCCGAGTACCAGTTTCCTGGAGACGTGACGCTGACATACATACGGTTTGAGAAATCCGGGCACAATGTGTACCTCGGGGACACGAAGGGGAGGCTGCATACATTACATTTATCGGATACGCCGATAGCGCCATACAACCAAAAGAAACTCTTGGACGAAGCGATAAGGAAAGCTCTCTGTACCAGACCGAACATGTTAAAGCAACTCGACAAGCTCCTCAGGTTCAAAGCCCGCAAGGTTCGGCGAACGTAGCAGCCAACAATGAGACATCGCATCGCAGCAATGCCAACAAATAGAGATAATTTAGATATTACTATATCGATATTTTTGTTGTAGATTTAATTGAACCACACCATATTTATAACATACTTACATTTGTTTTAGACTTACTTTAACACCATTTATAGTTAAAACTACATAATTTTGTTATAATTATGTTAAGTTTTTTTTAAATAAACAAAGTTTGTTTGATTGGTGATTTTTATTCTTATATTATATCTCATAAGGTACAAAATATTATATCAACAATGTGTTGGTAAAGTAAATAAATTAATTATGATACAAGTAACAATATACATGATGTTCTATATCTACGTGCTTGGAATGACTAGGACTTGTTGGAAAGTTTCTGTAGTTGATACTCCTTTTTCAGTTCTTTCAAGTTCGTTTCCAATATCGCTACCTGCGGGGAATAAATAATTACATTACTTAAGTATGTATATAATAATATTATAAGCTTCCATAGAGTCGTAATGTAAATTATAATAATGAGTCCTTGTTTGTAATAATGTGTATTTTGTATAGTAAACATATGTACCACTATAGACAACCTAAAAAAGAGCAAAAGAAAAAAAATCAACTAATCAACTAATATTTCATAATTAGACAGAAATATCAAGGCAATCTATCATATCCTTACTTATAATATTATAAATCGGAAAGTGAGTTTGTTTGTTCCACCTTCACGCCGTAACTACTAAACCGATTGCTTTGAAATTTTGCAGACGTAAAGTTAGAAGTCGGGATTAAATAATAGGGTACTTTTTATCCCGGAAAAATTTGATATTCCCGAGGGAAAACAAAAGTATTGGTATAGATGGCGCTGTGTGTATTGGTAAATGTCACATTGGCTTTTTATCCTTTTGTGACGCGAGCGAAGCCGCGGGTAAAAGCTAGTATATGTATAAAACGCAAAATTCTCATAGCTGAGGCCATAGGTACGAGTTTGTTCGCGTTCCTCTCATTGGCCGGCTCCGATGAACCAAACTCGTTTGATTACTTGAAACGTAATATAAACTAGTACTAAGGCTTCTAGTGTCCATTGACGGCACTGATTAATGACCACCAAGTGACCTGCTTGTTTGCCTCAATTTTTTTTAAACTTTGCCCCACATTAGGATTATCTCCTGTGTCGTGGGTGCGTTTACAAACATACAAGTTCACATACACATGGCACCCAGACCCGAAACAACAATTTGTGGATCACACAAAGTATTGTTCCGTGCGGGAAAATCGAACCCGCGACACGTTGCACGGCAGCCGGTTGCCCAGCCACCGCACCAGCCGTGCAGTCAATTTGTAATATGTAGTACATATTATTAACATACCTCTTCAAACTTCATTTCTTTCCTGGCTTCTTTGATGTATTCCCTGATGATGTTCATCTGTTCCAGCAGTGGGTTGTCGTCATCATCCTGGTTGCTCTCTACCCTGGACGCGCTGGGTCCTGCCATCTCCTCTAACCTGTCTCTCTGCCTCTCCATTCTCTCCCTCTCCATCTGAATCTGTCGCTCTGCCTTCTCATAACGCTGTCTCCGAACCTCGTCTATTTGAGCCTCTGTCGGTAACTTCCTTAATGATAAGAGATCCTCCTACAATTAGAATGTTTGTGATTAGCATAAAAAAAAACATTTTCTGTGTGGTGTTTTACTAACGAATCACGACTTTAATGATGATTCCATAATATATTAAGATATGAATAAAAATACAAAATGTGGGAGTTTTAATTTTGCGTTTTTCAATATGGCGCTGGTGAATAGGATATACTACAAATACAGCGTGATACACGCTGATTGGACCAATGCTATTGGTTCTATAGACATTAAGCTACACCTTAAGTTATTTTCAACCTTATAGTTTTAGAATAAAGGTGACTATCTTTTAAATATGTTTGATAATTTTAGCGGTCTGTTAGCGTTTATCATATAAGACAAATAACTTACTTTTATATAATGTGCAGCAGCCTGTCGTATAGCGGACTGTAGCTTGGCCTGCCGAGTCCCAGGTTCAGCCGGGAACGAAATTATCTGCTTGCTCAGCAAATCAATGCCCTCCGCCAGTTTCCCAATGCGCCCGCGCATCTTGTTGACATCTGTCAGGTTGTACGTCGTCTCACCGTCGAAGAGACTTTGACACATCTGTAAAAATTTGGACATTGTAGGATTCAAAATTAAACAAACTTTATTAACTTTAATCTCCGCGCCACCTGAAGGTGGACTGTTAGACAATGCCCGAGGCATTAAGTCTACCTGTACATATGGTTTTTGTACCTACTAAATCTAAATAAGTAAACTGGACTACTTAGTATTCATTCTGATGACTTGGGTAAAATATTCGAGATTAAAACTCAAATCGTTTAACAACATAGTAAATTTTTATCGTTAGGCAAATTAAAAGCCTATCACTTATATGCAGTGGTTAACGTGCTTTCTTTTAGAAAATCAATTAAGTTGTTATATTTTAGCCCAACTCACACATGCGATTCCGATTACCAATATTATAGATACGAATTTAAACCCTAATAAAAGTACAAAAAGGTACCTTTTCATACATAACAACATCGGGCCTGGCTTTTTCCATCAAGCTCCTCATCTGTTCATAAGCGGTGACAAGCACAGTCTTAGCGTTCCTGCTCTCTTGGACCTGTTTCCGAAGTTCTATCAGATTGTAGCAGTGCTCGCAGAGACGGAGACCGTTCTTCTCTGAGGTCTCATGATCAGGTGGGTTGGAAGTCTGTGGCGCTGATGGGTCTACTATTGCTCCTGTAATGAAATGGGGTTTATTGTTATTGAAAGTGATAATCATGAGGTCTTCGACTTCTGGGTCAGACTAAGGTTCTGTTTCACAATATGTGGAAAGCCTCTAGCTACCACATAAATTTAAATTAAGAGCGTAAGTTGTATGAACTATCTGTTATATAAGTTTATCAGGTACTTATAAGGAGGTGGTGAAACCGGCGCTAAGTGTTATGGAGATTGGTTGCCATGGATTTGAGTAGAAGAATGTATCGGAAAAGAGGATACTAAATAATTTTCTGTCCTTAATTATCTTATAGTATTATATAAAACTGAAGTTTGTTTGTTTGAGCGCGGTAATCTCAGGAACTACTGGAACTACAGGTCCGATTTGAAAAATTATTTTCTTGTTGAATAGTCCATTTATCGAGGAAGTTTATAGGCTATAAAACATCACGCTACGATCAATAAGCGCCGAGCAGAGCGGGTGCAACCGCGCAGGAGTAGTTATCTATATATATAAAAATGAAACCAGTTTCCCCTCCTCACACCATTGTTGAGAACGGCTAGACCGATTTGACTGATTTTTTTTTTGAGATGAGATGATTCTTATGATAGAAAAAAGTCCTGAAAATCCTACGGGAACGGGAGAAAACGAGATTGCGCGTACGAAGTCGCGGGCAGAAGCTAGTTGTTTATCAAAAGTGTTTGTCATTGCCACCTTTTGCTTTTAGAGATTAACAAGTTCAATAGGTAATTAAATGCATTGATAAGTTGTAGGTAACCTTTTGGTGTGTGTACGTATTTTGTTAATCAGTAGTAACCCAAACATCATTGTACCAGATCAGAATAAAACATAATTTGATATTAAGTCATTTTAGTTCCAATATCTTAACAGCTTAGTTAATAGTTCTGTCATTAATTACGGAAACAACATTTTTTCAATTAAAATTAATGAGGTATAAATCAAACATTTGTTCAAACGTCTTGAATCATTTCTAAAGCATGGTAAGTCAATTCCCTCAATACCATTCAAGCATAGAATTGTTCCACACTTTCACCCAGCACAATGCATAATCTAACAATTGTCACTGTTGATACGGTAGTACTTCCTTCATTGGAGAACTTTCAAATAGAATCAAGAATCTATTCTAGTATAATGGTATTAGAATACTGAAGAGTATGTTTACTGCTAATGCTGAAAATCCCAGCAGGATTTTTAGAATAAAAATTATCAAAGAAGCTAAATACAATTATTTTGGAAATACCAAACTTTACTATGAATTTTGTAAGAAATTATGTGGTGTTAAACATTATACCATAACCTCACGCCTTTTATCTCCGAAGAGGTGGTCACATTATAGCATGTAATGCCACTGTACAGTGTAACACCCTTTTTTCACTATTTACGTTATAAGTCTCATGTAATAGGGGGTGAGCCTATTGCCATATACCAGGCACATTTCCAGACACCGTGCTACTATTGAGAATTTGTAAAAACTCAGTAATACTTTGCCTGACCTGGTAATTAAACCAGAGTCCCGCTTGGGAGCGCTCGGCCAACGACGCAGTCAGTGTTAATCATTATACTTATTTAATTTAGCTAGAAAAATACTAAAACAAACCACCTTATTTAAATACATGTCTGTTTACTTGTTATATGTAAAAATTATAATGCAAGACACTCACTGGCTACATTAATATCTAGGAACAGAGAACAGTCATGGCAGAGGATGGAGCCGCACAGCCTGCAGTGGTGTTTCCTCCTCGTCAAGTTGAAAGTTTTCGCACAGTTCGGACACAGCTTTACTGAGGACCCATCTAACCATGGAACTACCTGGAATACAGAATTTTTAAAGATTACTTAGAATTAAAAATGTGGAAATATGTTTAGTACAGTTTTACATATCATATCAAAAAATAGAAACAAGTTTAAGGTAAAAATAATGCAGTTAGTAAGTTTATTTTTTTGTTGTTTTTTTTTTTAGCTGTGATCGTCCCAGATACAGTAAAGTAGTATAAAATATCTATTTTCGTATGCGAAATGTTTAGAATAATATGGTTTGAAATCAATTTGTAATTATGATAAATCTATATAAATGAAAAACAATTTCTGTTAATGAACAGAAATTGTAATGAGACAGACTAATGAGTCTTGATAAAACTCGGGAATGGCCAAACCGATATGGCTAATTTTCAAGATCTTCAAATGTTCGTGGAAGTCTAGAGAAGTTTTAAAAGGTGATTAAAAGATTATCAGGAGGTTCGTAGTTTGCGGGGTCAACTATAATAGTAGGTTCATCATTCCATTCCATTCCATTTAGTTGCCTATTTTCAATAACAAAAAATAACAGGATTTTCCTATACCAAAATAGCATTACATAAACAAATTATACATTGGTTTTTATACCTACAATAGTGTTATCTAAAACACATTATCATTTGATGGATATTTAGTTTCCAAAACTATTTAGAGATAAGAGCTATGATTGCTTACCTATGACAATTATGGAGGGTTATGAAATACTATGAACAGACAAAATCTAAGACAATATTACTGAGTTACCATTTTCATTATTCACACACCCAAACATAATGCCAAATAAATATACATTGCAGATCAGCTTGATAAAGAACATGTGTTGACGCCTAACCCTACGTCGAGAGCGGGGGATCTGCCCGCCTCCCCCCCTCCTCGTCACAGAGTGTATATATGGGAGTGCGCCGGATCATTTAAATAATCGATCGACCACTAGTTTTGTATTCATTCCGCTCATAAGGACAAGTAATATTGTAAAACGTTTTAAAAGTAATAAATCAGTTAGTATATTGGCATCCAGGGTTTATTTTCAGCTCCGCACACAATACCTGACACACCACAGTATAAGTAGTATAACCTAGCCCTAGACAACATGAATTTAGGAACTACATTAATACAGGAATCTAGGTACACAAAAGTAGAACATATTTGAATCTGTAATCATAATACAAGTTGACTCACTTCCTGCTCATGTAGTTTTCTCTGATTAGGGTCACTGGGCATGTTGCATACAAGCTTGTCCAGCCTTATTAGCAGCTTGTTGGTCTCCGTCGCATACCTCTCCAGCCGCGCCGACCTCACACCCTTCAAATAATCCGTAGAACTACGGGACACACCTATACTTTGTTCCTCATCCAAATACCGATGTTCCTGGTAACTAAACTTTAATGCACGATCAAATGTCTCCTTCAAGTCCGAGTCGTCATTATTCAGTATTATTTTCTTTGCCTTCCCAAATATATCCTTCAGGGATCTCAATACATCCTGCTCTTCAGAGTGTAAACTCTCAAAGTGGCTCGTTAATTGAGAAGCAGATTTCAAGTCGGCCTTACATATAGGACACAGAAAGCCCTCTAATATCTCATCGTCGTTAGCCGTAGCCATGGTGAAATAGTTCTAATTAGACTCCATTATTCATGCACGGAAATTAATTTATAATTTCTAAAGAGAAAGAAACTGTACACCCCTTCGGCCTTCACACAAATTAAAATTGACGTTGACAGCTTAACCCTTTGACAATGACATTTACGTTTCATTTTACGTTGGTAAGATAGTTTATCTGCACACGGATTAAGTTGAAATAGATACATTACTTTAGATCTAATTAATGAAATCGTAACTCGTATGGACGCTTGGCGCGGTGACTGGGCAACCGGCTTGCGCAACGTGTAGCGGGTTCGATTCCCGCACGGAGCATTTCTTTATGTGATCCAAAAATTATTGTTTCGGGTTTGGGTGTCACGTGTATGTGAACTTGAATGTTTGTAAACACACCCACGACAAAGGAGAAAATAATAGTGTGGGGCAAAGTCATTAAAAAACGTTTCGATTAATGCTGCAGTCTGTAAAATAGAACACGATCCATGATATGCCATGAGCTGATATCTCTCATCAATATTTGAGGACGATTTCCTGCCCGAATAAATACCGAAAATAATTATTTTTTACAGAATCTGAATACAACACTGAAGGAGGGTGTCAGAAAGTTTGTACTCATATGTCCACCACACATTAGTTACTTTATTATTTTTTGTGTGTAGGTCTATCACCAAAAATCTCTAAGAATACCACTACAAAAAATTTGTTTTAAATAAAAGCACAGCAATAATATTTACATAATTGATTTCATATATTCAGTAACATTAGAAAATAATTGTTTTAATTCTTCCAAGCTACTTCGTGTTTCAGGCCAGTCTTGTTTTTCCACTGCCCTGATGACTGCCTGGCCAGTGAGTCGTGCTGAAGACAGTTGTTGATTGGCTTGAAGTATATCCTTCTCTTCTGCTTCTTCGCGCGCTTTTTTACTAAGTTCCAAAACTGATTGCGCCATATTTATTACCTTTTTACATGTTTCAGGATTGTCAGACCAGTTGCCAGTCTAAAAAAAAGAAAATTCCAATTATTATATTTAACATAATATCACGCATTTTATCGCCGAAGGGGTACGCAGAGGTGCAAATTATCTACGGCACTTAATACCACTGTACAATGTAACACCCACCTTTTACTATTTATGTTATGAATCCCATGTTGTAGGGGGTGAGCCTATAGCCATATACCGGGGCCCAGACTCCGTGCTACTACTGAGAATTTTTAAAAACCCTGTATTACTTTTCCCGACCCGGGAATCGACTTTATAGAAATATATTTAACATTTTTATAAAAAATGTGGATGGATAATTAATTTACCTGTGTAAAACCTTTATACGCCTTCAATAAGCGCTGTGCCGCCAACAAACTTGTTGGACTTAAGTCGGAATAGAGCTGCCATAACTCCGGTTTATTCTGGTGTATTGACGTTATCCTTCCGAATAATTCCAGAACCCGCTTTTGCAATCTGTTATAAATAGAAAAAAATAGGTTTAATTTTCCTTAATTCTAAAGATAGAAATTATTAATAGAATTACAAAATAAAAGTCGTTTTTAAAAAAAATAGGACGCCTAAACATTTTTTCAAATGAAACATGCAATACCTAACTTAATTTAATGTGAAACACATTTACAGAAATTAGTAGTAGTAAACTAAGAAATTAGTCTCAATAAGACTAGTTTCCAATTTAATTTCTTTCCCATTCTCCCATTCAATCTAACCACAATACAAAAAATAAAATGACATCACTCACCTAGCAGAACTATTTCCATCAGCATCTTTAGCATCTGACAGAATGGCTCTCACTAGCAACTGCAAAACCTCAACATCTTCAAATTTTTGCTGCAGATCCAGTAGACGATGGCAGCCGCGGATCACGTCCTCGAAGTGACCGGTGTCCATACTTACTATTAGTACGTTTTCCCATAGCTAAAGAAAAAGGAAATTACATTTTATTTAATATTTTGTAATGTGGACAAATATTGGTTTGATTTTAGAGTGACATTCAACGTTTACGATAGTTTTATAAGAATCCAGGCAGTTTTTAGACGTCCTTTTGTATTTGCAAACGATTAGACTGATGGTGAGAGATCAGTGCCGCACGTGAGCCCATTGAGCACCAGCAATTATTATTATTATTGTACATGGGCATTACTGAAGTTTGTTATTGATGTGCGTTGCAGTTACAGTATTTTGTTAGTTGAGTGATTACAACTGTTGAGAGATGCAACGAATAGTTGTTTGGCCGGATATTCGGCCTGACCACCAGCCGAATATTCGGTATTCGGCCGGGAGTGTGATACGTAGGTATCACACATTTTGAGTTTCGTAAGTGCGTGTCGCGTACCGCCACGCCGCTCACCGTACATGTTTTAAATTGTTATTTTAAAAAGTTAAAATTGTGTAACGTAATAAAAAGATTCAATTATAAGTGTGTCTTTATTTAGATTTCATTTATAAAATCTACCAAGTTTACTAGCCGGTATCCTGCCGGATAGTACATTACCAACCGGTACCCGGCCGGATAGTAAATAACGACCAGATAAGCCGAATACCGGATAATAACCGAATATTTGGTGCATCTCTAGAATCACAATTCATCTCTAAATTACAACCACAACAATTGTTTGACAAATATGGGCTCTTAGATGCGTTAAACTTATAATTTCAAAATTGGCTGTTACATAGTTTTATAGCCAATTTAAGGAATAAAAGATTTACCTTCCAGTTATCATAATTGAATCTCAAAGCCTCCATGAGGGCTCTATAAGCTCTCTTCTTGTCCCCTTGGTTGACATACACTTTGGCCAGGTTGTTCCATGCCTCGAACGTGTTGGGTTGAAGATAAGTGTAGCGACGGTACGCCTTAGCTGATACTTCCCAGTTTTCTACCATTAGAGCTGCATATCTATAATTTGGTACAGACAAACATACATAAAATCACGCATTGCACGTATGAAGGGAACAGAAAATACAGACTTACAGAGCACCATTTAATACAATATTTTCAAACGTCTTTAGCGTCTATCACATTCAAGTAAGTTGCATACAAGCATTTTTTTTTAAGTGTATATTTGTATAAAATGTATATTTTTACATTCATTATATTGAATTTCAGTCAAAAATCTAGACCAATCTAAAGATTGCATTATTGCTTAATTCAGCCGTTTCCAAGTCCAATCACATATTTTTAAATCTGGATCAAATAAATACATACCCTAATCTAAGCCAAACTCGATCCTGTATGGAATTGATTTCGACTGACTTCTCGAAATGTGGAATGCATTCTTCATACTTCTTGTGATCGAACAAGAAGTTACCCCAGTGTCTTTGCGCTCTACTGCTCTTGTGGTTTGAAAATTCCCACGCCTTTTCATAGCACTTTACGTCATCTGAAAATGTATACCATTGATTTTACAGAACACATAATGATGATTGACATGGACAATTTTTTTTTATTTAAAAAACGTTGCCCCGCTTTAGGATTTTCTCCTGTGTCGTGGGTACGTTTATAAACATAAAAGTTCACATACACAATGACACCCAGACCTGAAACAACAATTTGTGGATCACACAAAGTGTTGTTCCGTGCGGGAATCGAACCCGCGACACGTTGCACGGCAACCGGTTGCCCAGCCACCGCACCAACCGTGCAGTCAAATTGTTGATTGTTATAGCCCAGCCAAAGACGATACTTAATTTTATAATTTAGCAAGGTGTAGGTAAAGGTAAAAAAAAAAAAAAAAAATGTGTAGGTACTAACCTGTTGCATCACCTAGCAAGCAGTACAGTTTCACCGTCGGATTTATATCAATTTGCTGCTGTATAATTTCAGCTGCCTGAAAATAAAAAAAAAACATCAGTAATAACATTTTTTCTACAGGGCACAAACCACATAACACCGTTCCTCACTGTTAAGTCCTATACAGATCTCTGTACGACAAACACATTATAATCTATATTATTAAAAATGGATCACGAAAATGCATGTACACCCACAACTGTTAAATATTTTTCTTTTCAAAGTCATTATCGTTAGGAAAAAGTATGTAACTATATAAGAAAGATTCGATTCATACATCGCAAATTAGAATGCAGGTGAAGCAGGAACACGCCACGAGTTTATTAAATAAATTATTCTTTACCTTATGTCTCAACTGCAGCGCAGTATAACACACAATAACATCTTCCCAGAGTTGTAATTTGAGGTATTCCTCTAAGGCTGCCTTCACTAGACCCAGATTCAGGTACAGGTCCGCTAACTGCTGTCTCCATACCCAGGCTGGTTGAAGACCAGTCCCCCAGAGATAGGATAATCTGTAAAGTAATAGTGAGTTTGATTATTAGTCTTATGTAGTAGAAGACTAGATTTATTTAGATGATAGATAATACTAAAATTTGCTAGCTTATAGTTTATCTATTTGCACTACATAAGGAACAGGATTCTTGGATTTCTTTATAATAGTTTAGTTTTAAACTAGTCCTAAAAATTGCTGCTGTAAATGTTAAAGAGATTCCCTGCCATGCCAGTCAATTATGAGATAGCAATGGTCTCTTAGAATGCAACTGACAAATGAATGGAGATTTCAGGAAAGAATTATGAATGACTATGTTTTATCTAAGTGAATGTATACTAAATAATACTACAGTAATAATACTCATTTTCAAGGAAAGGGAATACTGATATAAGTCTTAAGAAACTGTAAAAGATAACTTTAACAGGTATCCTAGAACTTCTGCTCTTCTAATATTCTTATGGGCATATGTCGACCTACCTAGTAGTAGAACTGGCGCCTGTCTTATCATTAACGATGGTCTCACACTGCAGCATGGCTCGCTCCACAGTCCTCTTGTGGTTGGCTTCCAGTTTACACCTGATCAGAAGTGCAGCTACTCGAGTAGGCCACGCACCTTTCTTTGGCGAGAGAACAGCTGCGATGTAGGGCTCCAACTCTTCATTCATCAATTCATCTTTTGGCTGAGATTTAATTAAATATTGCCTGAAGAGAAAAGGACAAATTTTTCAAATAAGGCATTGGTAGAGTAAGTGACATGGTTAACATGTTATCACATATCAAATATCTCCCTTGTTTGCCAGTTTAAAATCTCACATGAGAGTGGGGATTATCTTATTTTAGGATTATTGACAAAAATGTGAAGGCAAGCGAGATCCGACACGATTTTTTTCTAGGTCTATAGGGCTGACAAAACACCCAACATTTACTGTCGGCGCCGACACAAAATAGGTTTCCGTTACGTGTGAAAAGCTTTATATAAAATGCTCCGCTACTAGAACCTCCGATTACTCGAGTAGTAATGACATGAAAATAGGATTAACTACGTACGTCACATAACATCACACATTTTATCTCTGAAGGGGTAGGCAGAGGTGCACATTGCGTCACTTAATGCCACTGTACAATGTACCTAACATCCACTTTTCACTATTTATGTAACAAATCCCATGTAATAGGGGGTGAGCCTATTTCTATTAACTACTTACAGTTTTCAGAAATACTTACACAGTCAGCAAACACAGGATTTGCTCTAAACTAGGAAGTTCAGCTTGGCTGATGGACTCCGTGTAGTGAATCTTGTTCAATCTAAGATCATCTTGCAGTTCCAGGTCGGGAGGCAGCTCAGCTGTGCCATGGCTCTCTTCAGCTGTAGGTCTCTCTATGCTGGAGTCCAGCTCACTTGACAGTGCAAGTTGAGGTATTATTGTTTGTTGAAACTTCGTTCTTTTACCCAGTATACCTGAAATAGATTATGTTCATAAGTTTTCTGTCTGAGGTAAGAAGAGGTGGACAAATAGTAATTAGTAACATCATTTTTGATGATATCATAAAACCAAACATAGTTTTATAAGTAGTTACCATAAATATTGTTTTGTCATGTTTCTTAGTCATATTTCACTATCAGTAGCCTATTATGACAATGCACTTTCAGAGTATTTGGTTTCATCTACATGAGAGCTTGCCACAATATCTGGCAGGCTGATATTTAATATCCATCAAGCATAACAATATGTAATTATTAAAACAAAAAGTACCTGTTAACTCCAATTTCAACCCTGCAAGGTCTCTGGCCCTAGTCAGATACTCTTCTGTTCTTTGTACCCTGCCATATATTAGGTAGGCTTGAGCTATCTCCATGCACAACAGGATCTGCAGCCTTGGCTTATCTTGAATCACATGAAGGAGGTTGGTCAATTTTGCTATTATAATTTCAAGGTCCGCATACAATGTGGCGCTAGTGTCTTCCAAACTTCTTTGATGGGCCACTTTACTTCTGAAGTACCACCATAAGTGTAACTGTGAATTAACATAAAATTATAGGTCGACACAAAATTATGATGGATCTTGAAATAAAAAAAGGTTTACTTTTTTGAAATTTATTTTACAGCAAAATTACTCAATATTCAATTAGATATTCCACACATCTTTGGAAACTTTAGTCTTTAGGTACAATGTTTATTTGAATTTATGAATTTACAAACCTAATATTAAAAGCTTATGAACCAAAAAGAACAAAACTAACTAGCCTGTAGTAAATTATTTCATTTAAAATTTTTGTTTTCTTTTTTTCCTTTTACATTATTGTGCACCTACCACCTATTCCCAGATTCTTTTCAACATTTCAATCCGAGTGTGATAAGACCAAAGAGTACAATGGGCGTACTCAAATTACTATTAATAAATAAATTAGTGCCTAATTTTTGGTTTAAATAAAGTAATCTAATAAGAAATTCGTTAATTAGACATGGTGGACTAAGAGACTTTATCCAGCAGTGGACGTCTTCCAGCTGTTGATGATAATGAATAAGAAATTACCTTTATTAAAAAAATTACTAACACGTACAAATTGTCTTACCAAACTTTGGTCAGCGTTACACAAAGCACTGAAAACTTGCGTTGAGAAATACAACAGTTCTGGATAGATCACATTTAGATAGATTGGCTCGGAATCCCTTTGCAGCAGAATGTTCGCATCAATGTCTTTTGGCCATTCTACACCAAAAAATTCTTCTAAGCTCAATTTTTCCGGGTGAGGGTTCCAATTACGATCACAAAATGTTAGAAATGAACTTATAGATACATAAAGAATGTTTTCCTTCACATTAGAATCTCTTTGATACGATTTCAATAAATCTCCCAGTGCATCTGTATCAAGACCCATCGCTAACAATTCCTTGCATATTGCTTGGTCTCTGACTGACCACTGCTCCGACCATAACTTTTCAATTGTCTTGTTTTCTGAAATTAAAATTTTTCAAAATAAATAACATAATAAGCCGTCTTATATGTTGAATAGTAATGTTTTTTAATCTTACCAGTGTTGAGTTGGTCGTCGAAATTACACAAAAACAAAACTGACTCTGGTGTCATTGTAGATTTGGTAATTATAAAGATCGTATAATGTTAATGTAAGAAAATGTTCTGTTTATCCTCTGCTCTCGTGTTTTTGACATAATTATAACCTAAAAAAATGTGACATCATTTTAGGTGTCAGTGCTGTGTCATAGATAATTCATTTTTAAATCTGGATATCAGTATTTTAATTACGTTAATTATGAATGAAAAATTACGTACTTTGTAATAAATTTAAAGTGGTTAGCTTTAACTGAAGGTGTTACAGTTAAAAATTGTTTGGCAATAAGAATAATAAAATATCTTGATCAAAAGTTCAGCCCTCCAACCTATACTTTGTCTATACCTTATATCCATAGTCTTTGAAAAAAAATTAGTCTATGGTATACAAGATGGGTGTACTTTTAGGTTAGGGAAAGATTTTATGAAATTAAAGTTTGACGAAAATGAAATATATTTATAAAATGGAATCAGTGCTAATAAGTATAGTCATCGTTTTTTGTACTGTGCTACTAGTAAAACTACTTTATAAATTACGGTAAGTTGGAGAGGTTATAGATAACGCTTTCCCGCCCGACAAAATCCTAAAAAAATACCTATTTTGCTTTTACAGATCAGCTTTACCTTGGCGCGTGAACTGTTGGTTCTGTAATAATGATTTTTGGGTAAAATATCCAGTGCGAAACAGCTGGACTTGCCAAAAATGTGATCAGTACAATGGATTTACCAAGGTAAGGTTATCACTGATTTATGAATGAAATTACGATTGTTATCACGTGTTATATAATTTACACATTATGATCAGCTGTATATAAATATGTTCCATGCTATATATTACCCATTTTGCTTAAGGTATTATGGTTTACCTTCCTAATTTTATTCGGGACTATTGGCAATGTTTCAGCTTTGTAGGTCAAGCAGAATGTAAAATTGTGCAAAAAAATTGGCTGAGTGTTGACTTAGCTTTTTTCTCGTTAGGATGATTACAATAGTAATGTAGACAAGCCAAGATTCGAATGTGTGTATATTATTTCAGGATGGAGACTACAATAAGCCGATCACGGCGTGCAGTGACCAGGGTATCCAAACACCTAAAGTCTTCAAGAGAAGTCCACCTAAGAATGGCCTCTGCAAAATGTGTAATATAAATCAACAGTTGAAAGTGACCCAGCTAGCTAATTTTGTTCCTATGAATGATAAGAAGTTTGATGATGAAATAGAATCATACAGGTAATTAGCGAGATTAATGTTGTTATCAACTTATCATACCACACCTTGTTTGAAGTCCTGAGTGAACAGGTTGCTCATAGGTAGGTGTGCTCCATCATTGGCCACATTATCACTTACCACCAGGCAAGTAGTAGTAGTAGGATAAAGTAGGTTGCTTTGTAACCATTGTGATGGTTAATGTAATCTATCATTATACAAGTTGTTTTTAGCGAATTTCATATCTGTATCAATTAACATCATACACTGTGTGACATTCCTTAGTTGCGAAATGTAAAAAAAAACAATTATTGCCCACCTGAGAATAGAAATTGTATTATGTTCAATTTAAGGAAGTCTCATTATCTCACACAATCCCTTATCTTAGCTGTTGCTAATTGTTTAACTTGTGTTATCAGTCATTTTAAGAAGTCATGTTTACTGATCCAATTTGCTATTCATCTCTGCTAATTTTGAATTAAGATACCAAATACAATCCAGTTGCGAATTTGGTGTGGTGGTAACAAGTTTGCATTATTTTTCATTAATTTAGACTGAAAAATTTACTAAATTGATTTTTAATTAATGAAGAAGAATATAACATGTATAATTTCTATTTTATGTGATAAATCAAGTATGGTTGTACAAGCAATAAGCGTATATTTAAATTGTACTTCTCTATATTCCAGGTTGCAGTTAGAGAAGGCTTACAAGCTATGCAGTCCATGCCGGAAAGTTGTCCAAATGAAATTGCACAAAGAGAAAGAAACCCTTCTGGGGTCCAAACTATTAGAAACAAGAACTTCAGACAATAAGTCTGAGAAAGAAAAGCAATATAAACAAACCAAACTGTTGAGAAAACTTATAAACAATACCTCTATGCTTATAGCAGTTATACTTTTTATACTGGTTTCTTTTGAACTTTACACAAACTTAACATTAAGACACAAGAATTTACTTAGTACAATAACTAATATAAAAGTAATAGTACTAGGTCTTCTAGAAAGAATATACTCTATAATTGAAATGAAGACAACTCTGACATTCCCTGCTTTAGAAAATTATTTCTATGACATAAACATTGTGAACATGATGCCAAAAAGTTTTAATTTTAGACACATAAATGTAGACCAATTAAATATATCTACTCAAGAAACTTTAGGAAGTTTTGTATGCTTTTTACAAATAATTGGACTCATCTGGAATGTAAACAGCTTGAAGAATACTATTCTTATTGACATGCAATGGCTGGTGTATGTCATTGCAACATTAGGACATCGCTATGTGGCTGTGGAACCTATCTATTTGAGCTTAATTAAGGTCAGTAAATCATTTACCACATGTTTACATTTTTTGTAGAATGTGCATTCATGTATGTGGAAGGTTTTTCAATGAGAACTTGATTGGGGTGTACGTATTTGTGACTAAAACAAAAGATCAGTTATCAATAAATTTTATTCAAATATTTAATTCCCTGGTCATACTCCAAAAATCTTGCTACCAAACTAAACCAACTAATAATATCTATTATCTTTTTGTTACAGATAATGTGTTTGTTCATTGTAATATTGGCATATAAATCAACTAAGACAGAAGCCAAGAAAATAGAAATGAAGAGCCCAACTTCACCGAAACGAATGAAAAACCTTGTAAATTCATCAGCAAGTTCACTAATTGATGATGACGATGACACTATGCATTTAGACAGTGATGATGATGTCTCATTGAGCAAATTCGGCTTACACAATTTTTCCGAGTCTTCTAATGAGAATTTAGGTTTAAATGCAAGTATGATGAATGGTAGAACTTTTACACCAAGAACTGACAGTATATGGACAAAGCCAAAACTAAATTCCACATTCTGTGTCAATTCAGTGATTAGCAACAGTCCTAGTTCTGTATCTGATACAATATTTGTGAAACCTTCATTCAATAAATATCAGAAACTCATAAAAGACGATTCAGACTCAGAATTAGATGAAAGCATAAGTTCCTTGTGTATTAGTAGTCCTAAAAAATCAAAAAAGACTACAAACTCAGTATTTTCCTTAAGAAAATTTACTGCTACTCCCAGTTTCATTGCTCCGACGCCTATGGCTCGAACTAGGCCTCTTATATCGCCGAGCAAACTAGGTCATAGTACTTCTTGGGTGGCTGGTGGCTACTGGGGCTCCGAAGGTGAGCGTCAGATATTTAGTGTAGATGGGAGCCGTTCCTCGAGTCAAAGTTCGGGATTCGAATCTCAGACTTCTAGCGTAAACCAACGCAACATGTTCTCGCAGCCTCCTTCGCGAGAAGAGTCCATCTGCGGGGAACCAATGGTGTTAGATCGTTTTCCAACCATGAGCAGTTTAAATGGTTTCCAGTCACCACAGCACTTTAACCGCATAAGTTCTCCAGTATTTCCCCAAATGCAGTATAATAGTCATGTCCATATACCGCAAGCTCAATTTGCTCAACAAAATTCAATGTCAGGGAACATGTTTGTGCATCACCAGCAACATACACAGAGCAGTTTATTCAAGACACCTGGTGGGTCTGGCCTTATAAAACTGCCACAAGTCAATTCCTTTTCGACTCGCTAGCTCTTGAGGACTAGTCAATCTACTGCCTTGACATTTCTTACTTGTTTTCTTTAAATTCGTTACGTATATTTTTGTCTTGCTTACCTCTTTATTTTTTAGATTTTTACGAAGTTCCGTGAACTGCCATTACGTTAAGAACATTTTGTTAAGTTATATCATGTTAGTTGTAAGCGATTGTTAGTTGTAACGTTTGAGACTAAACTTAGTTTGTAAGACGTATTTGCTGATCTCGTGTTGGTGCCAGGTGTTGGCGATATGAAAGCATTAAGAATTATTGTATTGTTAACAATTTTTATATGGACGTCACTGTCCTATTCTCGAACAAAATGTGATATGTAAAGACTAAATAATTTTTTGCAAAAAGTGAAAATGATTCTTGATGTTATCATCGTTTTGATTTTGTCATCTTATAACGGAAACTTTTTGTGAATTTCCTGCAATAAAAAACGTAAAATTGTAATTTTGTTTTCATTGTTACTGAAGCCAAATAATTAACTTAGTAAACGTAATAGGTACTAACGAATTTCTGGCCTTCCTTTCATTCGGTTGTAAATATTGATTAGGTTGTGGAGGTACAAACGTGTCTGAGTACAGGGTCGATATGTAGTCTGATACATCGGTGCATTTCCACTCGTATTCTAAACGTTTCTTCAAACCCCACTCTGTCACATTACCCTAAAAATTACACAATATTGAAATATACCTAACTACATAGGAGTAATATGTGTAGGACTTGATTGAAAACATGGATAAAGCTCCAGTCCAGACTTTCTAATTTAATTATTAATGTAGCTAAGTACGTACAAAACACTTCAAAAGATCAGGTTGTGGATAGAATTGATGCTCCCCCTTTTTATAGTAACGCTGGATTGGGCCACACAGGGGCTTCGGCAAGTGGTTGTACACTAGATCGTTAGCAGTTGCGTAATTTGGACATTTGTCGTGGCTATCATGTCTTATTATCGAAGCGACGTTACTCTGTAAAAAGGTGACAGTTAGATTAGAGCCTAGCGTAGCGTTTTGCATGTTGTACAAACAGCAGAACCACGTGATGTGGTTCATTTCAAACTAGAGACTACAGTTTATTTTAGCTATGCGCAGTCCGTATCTGCCTTAATCATTAATGTAAGCACACTTGTATTATTTGTTGCATCTGACCTGTGTGCTATTCAGTTTATTTTGTCTGAAGTCGGGCTGTCTTGATTCTGGTTTCAGTTTTTCATAATCATCCTCTTCTTTTGGGGGAAAGTAATAAGTACCGGTTTTTGGACATTCTATCCGGTCTTCTACCCAGTTTCCTGTAAAAAATACATTTACTAAATTACATGGTAGGCAAGGAACCTGGTTATTTTTTGGTAATGTGTAATGACATGACGCAGTTACTGAATATCGGAGTGGTCTATAGGATAGAGCTTGAGGAAGGTACATAATTGTGTTCTCGATACCGTAACTAGATTTGTTGATTTTATTAACGCTTCTCTGTTAGGGTCTAGTGAGGGAAGGTAAGTAATATGTAAGGGAGGGTAGGTAAATAGGAGGATGCTGAAAAGCTGTTATGTTTAGTTTTTACCTGTAGAGGGAGTGGCTAGCGTGTCCCCAATTGCGTTAGCAAGATTTGATTTGTTCTTTTTACTACACACTCCCCTTTGGGAGCATACGTAAGGCTTCGGTGAAAATATAAAAATAATAACATTAAAAAATTCTATAAGTAATTAAAGTTGTTTTTTTTTAAAGGGGAATATCATCCAATGACTTCGCTTGCCTTGGGTTAGGCGAGAGGGAGTGTCAGACTCTTTCTGACTAAAAACCACCCCGTTTCTACTCCTGCTCTTTAAACCGGAGCACCGGCAACCCGTTAGGACTTCCGCAGCAATTAAAGCAACCTTACAGTACAGTTTCAGTATGTAGGAGTGCACTTCATGAATACCTACCTACTTACTTGAATATCTAGTTACGGTACTAAATGTCCTGCTTACCTCCATTGGTAAACCTCTCCGATAAACCAACAAGGACGATGAAACAAAATAATGGAGATGATAGTTACTGATAACGTTTTTGTGATACTAGCCTATGAGAACACCCGAGCTATATGTGGGACGGTTTTGTATAAGTATTTTGGCAATCGCCTGGGCACGACTTGGCGACGGAGGCCTTGTAGACACCGCGCCTGCAATTGCGTCCTGCATAATGCATAGGTAGCAGATAAAAATTGAACTAGATATATTATTTACATTTGCAAAATCCCACACTTAATAACTGTCATGTCTTATGATATTATTTAAAAACTCACTAGTTCCGAGTTTTTAAACAAAACAAGGTTTTACTTCTCTTAAATAAAATTGGTTCCTAATGGTATTTTTAGTTCCTAGATGACTTCTACAGAACATAACATCACGCCTTTTATCCTCGAAGGGGTAAGCAGAGATGCACATTATGCCGCTGTACAATGTAACACCCACTTTTCACTATTTATGTGTCTGTATTTGTCTGTCTTTCACTATGTATGTATGAGTCCCATGTATGGGACATGGGGTGAGCCTATTGCCATATACCGGGCACAATTCCAGGCTCCGTGCTACTACTGAGAATTAAAAAAACCCAGTAATACTTTGCCTGACCCGGGAATCGAACCCGGACCCCTTGCCGGCAATCGCACTTGCGACCACTCGGCCAATGAGCTATTCAATACATACTATATTCTCTGAATCCCCGATTGAATAATCCACAACATTTGTTCATACAAAAGTAATCTCTAAACATCGGAAATAAGGTAGGTATACAGCGTGACTTGTAACTCGACGTATTCCTCTCGGGAGGTGATAATGATAATACAACTAATTTCCTACAAAATTTGCCCTGAGGCCTCTGGTCCGAAAGTGGCTACTTTCTGAGATATTCAACATTTTCGGTTTTGGTAAAAAAATCCCAATCGAACTACAAAAACATCAATAAATAAAAAACCACTTGTAGTGTTGCGGGTGTCCATGGGCGGCGCTGATCGCTTACCATCAGGTGATCCCTCTGATTGTTTGCCTCCTATTCCATAAAAAAGTGATTTTAGTTTTAATTTATTGTCAATACACCAATAAACATTTATCAATACTAATACTGGCAGAAATATCATTTGTTTTGTATAATGGGGTAAGTGAAGAGCGGTTACTGGTCACCACTTGGGGACTGCAAGAATAAGACTAAATAATTAAGTGATAAACCTTTATTAGTTTTCAGTTACATTAATATATTTCACAGTATATATTAACTACAGGTAAAACTGTCTGCGGTTACAATCCACTGAAGAGTTTTATTTTCTGCTGCTCAATTCAAGTCTTTGTATTCAAAGTCCAATTGCTTAAAGGTTCAGTGTGTTAATCCGTCTCCATGGGCAAATTGAGATTTGGTTTTGGCAGTGATTGTAGTAGCGCAGACAGTTGTCCTTCCAGAGGGCCTGCTTGCTGTACTAAGTTTTTGAGGTTTGTTTCCACTATAGCGATGTCCTGATTGATTGATTCCATGCTCTGTGAATATACCAAATTAGTTGATTAGGAAATTCAATTTATTTAATTGTACAAAATATAAGTTTGATATTTTTGTCCCATATCTGATGGTTTACACTTAGCAATAGGGGTTGGGTTTGGGATCATCTCAGGGTTAGAGCTAGGTTTAAAGTTACGAATTAGTCTGAAGATGATAGAGGTATCTTTTGATATAGAAGTCAAATAGAAGTCTTACTTATGAAGCAAATATGTACAAGGGTCTTACCTGTATAATGGAAGTGTACAAGTACTTCACGTCTTTATCACTATAACGGATGAAACCACTAACGTTCGACTCTGAATCCGATGGAGCTATAGAAGCCATTATAAGCGATATTATTTAATTATATAAAAATAGAAATTCAAACACCGTTGAAGTTGAACTTTAAAAAACAAACATTAACTGGATTCTGGATTTTTCAATCTCTAATTTATGAAAATTACAATGTTTAACATGTCTATGTTCTGTTTCATACTCTCTCTCTTGTATTGTTGCTTTTGCATAAGACAGTAACGGTACCATAACCATGTTAAAAATCAGATTTCATTGAAGATCCTGGAACGAAACTTTTGATTCGTTTGACAGTCAAGTGCACGTTTAGCAATCGTTCTAAAAAGATGTTTCGGAACTCGACTCAACCGATCTTAAACATGTAAATTATTTTAGTAATACTTAAATATTTATTAAAAAGTAAAAAAATTGTTTTAATATCGAAAGTGTCTACCCGTTGAAATTAATTTTCATCGTAGTAATGGGTATTTAGTTTCCGAACTTGAAAACATGAATGTCAATGTCATCCGCTGCGGAAAGAATCGCCTGCATTGGAGAAAAGCCAATTTTTTTCGAAAATCACTAATAAAAAAATACCGATTGTGAATTTTGTGTGAAAAACTCAAAATATTTTCCGGAAAAGTGTATGTAGTGGTGTTCTATCATTTTTCTTATTAAATAAATACTGTTGTTTGTGTGGCGGATATTGTTTTTATTGCATAGTTATTGATCAGATGCTGGAGTAAAAAAAATAACTGTGCAGTAGAAACGTATTATAATACGATAATAAATATCAAAATCCTATTGAAAGTCGCTTTTCAAATGAAAAACATTCGATAAAAACATCTTTAAACCTGCATTATCATTATAAACTTTTGCTCATATGTATCTTATTATAATTTCTTGATTCTTACCATTATGCTTTTCACATATCATTAAAATCACTATCCTGGTCTAATTATAATTCACCAGTCAAATATAAACATGGATTTATATGAAAAGATATGGAATTCCTCGCTACATATTGGAAAATACTAGAAATATTACCTTACACCCAACAATGTTGTCCAAAATTATTGAGATGAAATTATGTACAAATATGTGGTTTTAAGAGAAGAAAATTATACTTCCCAACATAGTCATTATTCTGTTGGGGATGAACTGAATATTGGTTAAAGAAATAAAGATGAAAGCTACCTATTTAGAGATTAATGTGTTGTGCATTGAAAATAAGATTATATCTTCTTTTCAAAGAAATTAATTTATGAAAATAATTTGTAAATAATAGAAGAAACATGATTATGTTTACACCATATTTGACATGTTTGCAAATTCTGTAAGACTTCATCAAATATTTCTGTATATATAATAGTTTATTTCATAATTCTTATGATCTGCATTGTCGAGCATTAAACCTTATAGAAGAACCATGCAATTTAATAATGTTTTTTGTCATCTATTATAGCCATCTGCTATTAAATTCCTATCATTCTACAAATGGGGAAATAATGAAATTGTTTAAAAACATAACAATTTTGATCCCAAAGAACAGCCTAATTTTTTACAAATTAAAATTACTAGACACAGTCCACAGAGGCACTATTCGTATGCCACAAATGTCCTACTGACTTTAACCTAGCTCTAGGCTAGATAATTTCCGCCACTGTTATTTAATATTTTGGCATTAATATTATTAACTATGTGTGTATACAGAAAAGAAAAAAAACATGAACAAAATAGTAATAAATCTGGTGTAACCCAACAACTGGATATAATTAGAAAATCTGTGAGAGAATCCTTATGATACAGTATCAGTAATCATAACACTTGTAGTGATTTGCTGAGAGTTGAATAGGCCGCATTAGTTGGCAGTAGGTCGTTGGCGGCGGCGGCGCCGGTCGGGCTGGCGTCGCGACGTCGCCGGCTGCCCCCGCCCCGCACTCGTCTCGCTGCCCCCACCCTCCCACGTGTCAGTCTCAGTGTCCCTTCACACACAACCAGTAACTACCCCTATTCTAACTCCTGCATCTTCAACTCGCGACTTTGTTTGGTTCCTTTCTTTATTTTCCGCTTTATCTTATTTTATGGGCTAAAGTTTCTATCACACATTCTCTTAATCGAATTTTTCCTTATTCTCCCATAACATAAAATTGCAGTCAATAAACAATAACAATGTGTTACTAAAGTGGGTGATCGAAGAGTCATGTCTGAGGAACATGACGTGGATTTTCCTATGAACGACGAAAAACACGATGAAGAAAGCGAAGAAAAAGTGGCCGAAGATGAGGAACCGGTGGTGGACAACGAATCGATGATCGAACATGCCGAAGACTGTCAAATGACGGTGGATACCGACAAACCAAGTGCCAATACATCCAAAGAAGACAGTGCCATAGACGCCATAGATAAAGAGACTCTGAATAGCGAAGTCGATGAGAAAAAGGACTTATACGGTGCCAATGAGAGAGCAACGCTCAGCTGGACTGCAGAAGGCAATGAGTTCAAGATAGCATGGAACCTGCCACCAGGAACTGCTACGAGCGACGACTACATCGCGTTATGTTGCACAGGTAAGAAGAAGTTTGTTTATTTTAGAAGCAGATTAAAATCTATGTAAGATTACGCTGACCCCTCGTCCATCTAATCTAAATTCAATCGAAGGATGGCTCACTAATATCGGCTTTTCAAATGATGTGGTGCGGATCAAATATTCAAATCGAATAATATTTGGCAAGCGATTCATCATAAAATACTAGAAGGATTGCATGTTTGAGTGCTAACTGCATCTAATAGCATCTAAGTTACGTAATGGATAGTATTGCCTCGCCTTACGGTTATGTCACGCAAACCAATTCTATATTTTCTAGGGCGCCGACTTCCCAATTTTACAAAAAGTGCTAAAATGGAGTGCCGTTATGCCATATTGTTTGGTTGGCGCAGTTTTCATGAAAATATGAAGCCGTAATAACCAGAAAAGATAAAATGATTACTCGAAATTTTACTCCAATAATGAAACGAATTTGGAACAAAAGCTTTCTTCTAAAACCCCCGTTTGCAATAATCTCCAGGTTTTGCAGGTCGCAGTTAGGTCTGCTGGTCACCCCTCGGTGGCGGATCACAGTTTTAGTACACACTCGGGTCCAATTTATTCAATGAATCGTAAAAACTTCAAACATTC